TGGGGAAAACCCTTTGGAATCCTGCTGTGACACACAATATGGTAAGAAAGCAAAATCGAGAGATTGGTGCTAGGCATCTATAGGAGGCTTCCCTAAAACAATAATTTCAGTCAAGAGACTTTCTTTCCAGCACATTTCATTTTAAGCTTCCCTTGCTCAGAAATGATATGGCTTCAAGGGAAAATGTTTGCCATACAATTCTTCCTTAAAGTATGGCTGATATAGTTTGTACTGGCAAATAACCAGGTCAAATGGCACCCCTCAATCCTGACTCTGCATTGCCTGAAGCAATCCAGCCATTTCTGCTTACTCTTTTCCTGTGGCCTTGTATAGGAATACAATTTTTGTATCAGATCCTCCACTACCTAAAGCATTCAATTGTTATAAAGGAAATAATACAGAGAAAAGCTGCACCCTTCAGTGAAGGAAGTAGGTCACATATCCTTTGTAATAACCTTTCATGTTTATACAAAACCTACATTTGCAGAGTCCTCTCCCTAGGCAATGGCCCGCTGCGTAGAAGCTGTTGTCACATGAACCTTCATGATCTGAAGGCTTTGATTTGATTACTTTGTTCCTAATTGTAAAGCTTTTGTGTCTGATGTCTTTAGGGGAAATTGATGTATTATAGCTTATCAGTTTGTGTGGGGAGACAGGGTTTTACATAGGCAGAAATGGGTAGAAAACAATACAATGTTCTTGAAGATCTAAAGCTAATCAGACGGTATGAAGCACAGAGTGCTTTGAGTTTCTATTAGCTCTTCATTCTTTGTAAAAGTACTTGTACAGATGTTGGACATCTGGACAGTGGCAGCTCAGGGCCCAAATTTTGACTGTTTTAGCAGGAGAAAAGAAGAACAGAAGGTATTAATTTCTTTCAACTATGAAGTTCCAGAATATTTTATTCATGAAAACGAAGGAGGAGGTTGTTACAATTACAACAGAAGTACCTAGATAAAGTGCCATTTCTTTTGCACAAGTAACTCTGCTCATGCTAATTAGTAATGAACATTTGTATTCTAGAGAGTGCACCAAGAATACAATTTCCAACAGGCAATCCTTCTGGTATTGTTGAAGGCTTTCATGGCTGGAATTGCTGGGTTGTTATAGGTTTTTTGGGCTTTTGGGGCATGTTCAAGAAGCATTGACTCCAGACAATAAACAATCAGGAACAGCTAATCACCTCTCAACAAAGGATTCCCTCAGGCAGGAACAAGCCACACCTAAAAACTGTCAGGCCATCAAATGCCAATCAAAGTGGCCAATTGCAACATTTACACTTGCCTCCAGCAGACAAGAGTTCATTCTCCCACCCTGGACATTTCACAGATATATAAAACACGCTTGCATAATTTCCAACAGACCTCACAACCTCTGAGGATGCCTGCTATAGATGAGGTGAAACGTCAAGAGAGAATGCTTTTAAAACATGGCCATATAGCCTTAAAAACATACAACAACCCAGTCCTTCTGGTGCTATTTGTCATGTTTATTGTCCAAATGTCCAAAAACAGTGTTTAATCTATTTACGGTATTTACCATATTTATACCCTGCCCTTCTCAACACTGAAGAGGACTCAAGGCGGCTTTACATATAGGCAACTATTCAATGCCTTAATACAACATTCAATTAAAATAAACATTCAAATTAAAATTAAAACACATTAAAACATTTTAAAACATTACATTCATTATTAAATCCATGCCATCCACAATCATAATCCAGGGCAATGATTATAATATTGCATGAAACATTTTTAATGTATTAAAACCAATCTTAAAATCAGTTTTAAGGAGAAAATACAGGATAATATAGCTCTGGTTGCCTATAGGGTGGAACCAGCCTGGTTTCTTTTGGGAAGGAGTTCCCCAGTTAAACTGCAGTTAAAGAGGATACCTCATCTCATGTACTCTCTAATCTAAACTTTTGAAATGCTGGGACTGACACCAAAGCTGAAACTCCATGCTGACTCACACGGGAGAAAATAGTATTCCCGTTATCCTGGTTCCAGACATTTAAGACTTTGTATGTCAGACTGAACATCTTGAAATAAATGGGAAGGCAGTTCAGTTGATTTAGAACTAGTAGCATATGGTTCTTAAATCACATTCCAGACAATAGCCTGGCTGTCATGTTTTACATTAGCTTATAGCTTCCAAACACATTTCAAGAACAGCCACATATGATGTTCATTACAGTTGTTCAACTCAAAGGTAATGAAGACATGAATTATGGTATCCAAACCATATTCCCTAGGAAGAGGTGTAGTTGGTACAGCTTTAAATGAGAGATCTTAATCGGGGCTCAAGTGGGAAAAGCGAAGGTGAAATGTATAGGGGGAAGGGGGGGGGGGGACAACAGTATCCCATGGTGGTTGTGACTAGTTAGAAGAAGGGACATGACACTTGAAGTGATGGGTTTAACATCTTACTGAATTTGGCTCTTTTTAGCATCATACTGTATATGACCTTTTTTGAACTGAAACAGTTGTGACTAATTCCAGTTCAATGTGACAAAAACAAATCTAGGTTAACTGTCATGGGAATATTAAATGGTAGAAGTTCACCTTATTGAAAATAGGTGGGGGAATTAAATTATTCAAATCATGCTTGAATACTGTAACATTGGGCTGCAATTATTTGTACATTTAATTAGGAGTAAGGTCAGGGTTCAATTTATTACTCAGCCATGGAAACCCACTGAGTTTTGTTTTGTGTGGGTGTGGGTGTGGGTCAGGAGTGACTTGAGAAACTGCACATCACTTCTGGTGTGAGAGAATTGGCTGTCTGCAAGGACGTTGCCCAGGAGACACCCGGATATTTTACCATCCTGTGGGAGGCTTCTCTCATGTCCCACCCACTGAGTGACCTAGGTTGAGTCTCTCATTCTCAGCCCCAGAACACCCTGTTATGAGTTTGCATTATGGTTGTTGTAAGTGAACAATGTCTTGAAGGTAAACAATAACACACCACTGAACTCCATAGAATTTATTGCGGATACTACACAAATTACCAGAATTCTTCTCTAACCCACTTTTGCTTTGTGCTAGATATTTGTCTTAATATTATCGTATAATATTAAAGAAGAGACTAGTTTGTTTATTATTCAAAATTCAATATAGATATGTGTTTTAAATTTAATTTATATGGGTTTAAATGTACATGTAAATGTTATATTTGTGTGTGGTGTTTTAGTTTATATTTGTATAACCAAAAATGACTGTCTAGAAGCAAGGTCCCAAATGCTTTGAAAACATTTATGGAATTTTACAAATCCCACTGGACATAATTGTTTCCTGGAACACGAAAATGAACAGCATTCAGGCAACAAAAATTTTGGAATCAAGCTTTGTGAGGTTGAGGGTGAAAGACTGTGCAGGTAGATGCTGTTTTATCTATAGTCCTAAATGACAGCTCTACTGCTTGAATTGTAGCTCAGGTAATATTCTGGTTCCTTGATTTTTCCATTAAAAAGTTTTATTTATGCCTAAATGAATCTTTGTGTTGTTGAAGGCTTTCATGGCCAAAATCACTGAGTTGCTGTGAGTTTTCTGGGCTGTATGGCCATGTTCCAGAAGCATTGTCTCCTGATGTTTCGCCCACATCTATGGCAGGCATCCTCCTATAGATGTGTGTGAAACATCAGGAGAGAATGCTTCTGGAACATGGCCATACAGCCCGGAAAACTCACAGCAACCCAAATGCATCTTTATTTTATACAACAGTGAGAAATGTTTCAAATACAGAGAAATTAACCCCCTCATATTTTCTACTTATGTCTGTATTTTTACTGTTTCTAACTGGATTATACTTTTTATTGTAGTAATGACTTCCCAAAGGTTATATAAAGACATGTTACATATTTGAAATCATAAAGGTTGTGGCTGTTATTAATTCATTGCCAACTTTTCCTTTGTGTTCTCAAATACCAGTAGGTAATGTTTAATTATGAAATCAAAGCAAGTTTTACTAGATGGATAGTAAATTAATCATCTGTTCATCAGAAGATCAATGTAGTGAAAGCAAAAGTTCATTTGAAAAATAAGACCTTTTGCAGCTAAAGATTTTATCTAACTTTGGCTGTCATTTCAGCATGCTTAGAAAGAAATGTTTCAGAATCCATGCTTTGTTCATTCAAGGATTATGATTTAATAATCAGTGGATATGAGGCACCGTGAACAGTCAAGTCACAAAGAGTTGCTTCTTTCTGAATCAACACGTTGATTCGAACAAAAATGTGAACATAAAAGCTAAGTTCTCAGACTCCATACCTAACCAGTCCAGCATTTTATTCCGATAGTGATCAAACAAATGCCAACCAAATGGCAGCAGATTTGAATATAGGAGGCAGCCTTCCACTCACATTCCACAAAAATGTCAGTAAAAAATTCGACCTCAGAGCAACTGCTAGGAAGCACGAAATGAAAACAAAGTGTGCAGTCTTCAATCAACTTCAAAGCCTTGAAGTGGCATTATTTAGTTGCTTTCTAACACCTACAAAAAACAACAAACATAACTATGTACAGAAGAAATCACACACACACACACACACACACACACACGTGTGTGCTTACGTCATTGGAATGTGTGACGTATACAGGAAATGTCCACAGTTCACCCTCTAGGCAGTAAATCACTCTATGCCTTTAACTCTTGCATAGCATTACATTGCATTACGTCCTACACTGGACACACACAGTTTAAAACTATAAGTTATATTTCACACGAGTAAAATCCATAGTGCTGACAAAAAACTGGTATACAGAGGCATATTGTTTCTAATATTCAATGACTATATAATATTCTGAGTAGTCATTGATGGCCATATCTTCCATGCATACATCTAATCCCTCTTAAAACTATCTAGGTTGGCAGATATCACGACATCTTCTGGTTTCACAATATGCATGTTTATGTGTATAATTGGAATATGTTTTGTATGGTCTTGATTTTGCTAGGATGCTATAATGCTAAATGCTTTTCTACCTTTCATTTTAAAGGAAAACCACGTATCTTTGAAGTCTTAGATGCTGTCTATCATGAGCCGACTACCTGTGACTCACTGAAAGTTATCCTCTTGAAAACATCTGCAGGACCTCAATCTTTGGCTAACCTTTGGTTGTTTTCTGTTGATCAACAGTGCCTTCTACAGTGCATTATCACAATTACAGCTAAGTGCCTATAAGGTTCAGCACAAAAAGTAAAGATGCCCTGTAAGCTGGAAGTAGACAGGTTTAAAAGCTGACACAGTGAAAGCTGCTGAAAAATGATGAGGACCCATTTTATATCACATAAGATGAATCAAGTCCACAGTGAAGCCCATTACTGATTGTTCCTATTGGCGACACAGCTTGAAATCATCTAGAATCAGAGCTGCAGGTCTTCCTCATCCCTGCTTCAGGAGCCCTACTCCATGGACGATGCTTGGAATTCAAACTTGACATTGTCAGCACACTAATTCTGAATCCTGAAATCACATGCATATTCTAAGCAAAACCCAGAATATCAGTCACCTCCCATGAGAATTATTTAATAAGTGATATGCAAGGCCTCCATTTTATTGGTACCAGGTACCAATCCTTTCTATGAAAAATATTTTGCAACTAATCCTGTAGAACATTGTGTCCCTGATTGAAGTTGGAGATATTAATTTGCATTTTTCTGATTATTTGTTTCAATATAGTAGCTTGTTTTCCCTTGAGAATCCAACTGGTAGGCAAAAATGTGCTTTTGATATACAAATGAAAAACATGAATGTATAGTAAAATATACTGAGGTTAATTATACTTCAAGCCCACAGGATGTACTTTATTCTTTACTTGAAATCCAAAATCCAACCACTGAAGTCAGGTGTGAAATAGTATATAGAGGGGAGATCAGACATATAAAATTAAGGGACAAGGGTGTCTTCCTTTTCAGTAAGTAAATGAGTTTATAAATCCCCCTGATTTTATTCCCTATTACAGGATGGGAGGATGGCCTTGTTGTTGTGATGGTTTAACATCAAGAGAAGTCCTTGCTGAGCTATTTCAGACATCTGTCAGTAGATCCCAATCTACCTTTTGCTGAAACCCATACCTCACAAACTAAGGTACTCCAAATACGCAGTGTTCAAGATAACAGCGTGTGACTGACAGACAGCTCAACATAATTATTGGGGCCACCATACTGGGGCCTGCCAGAGCCAATGCTGTGGGCAGGGCTTGCTCTACAGCAGGAGTCAAAATTGTGTGGCTCTCCAGACACAATTCCAAAAATTCCTCACCACTAGCTAGAGCTTTGAGAAGCTGTCATCCATCCATTCCTGGAAAGTGACACAATTTCCTTTGTTGTTCCAACATATCAGAAAGATAGCATTCTAAAACTTAGAAGAGTGGTGGAATAAAGAGAAAAGAAATGTTAGCTGAATGCCTTACAACATGTGGCTCTCCAGGTGTTTGGGACCCAACTCCCAGAAGTCCTAGCCAGCATATCCAGTAGTCAGGAATTGTGAGAGCTGTCGTTCAGAACACCTGGAGGGCCACAAGTTATGTAGACCTACCTTAAAGAATACCTTATAGCCATCAAAAGTTCTTCCCATAAGACCATGGAGTCCTTCAGTAGTTGTACTTTCTTAAAGCAATTGTTAAGTTTCACTACCTAAAATTGTGTGTGTTACAGATGTTTGTGTGGTATATGTATGTGCTATTGCTGTGTACCTTCAAGTCATTCTGACATATCGGCCCTAAGACGACCCTTTCATGGGATTTTCTGGGGTTGGGTGTGTGTGTGACATGCCCAAAGTTATCCAGTGGGTTTCTATGGCCAAGCTGGTACCAGAATTCTGGTCTCGAGTCACAGCCCAACCCTCAAACCACTGTGCTTACTGGTTCTTTATATGTATGTGTGCTTGTTATTTAACTCTAGAATTATGTTCACATTTCTGTCCAATTGAAGATCTTATTTAAAAACATAGTTATTCTCCAAATGTACTTAAGTTTCATAGTAACTTCTAACTGCTGTCTTAAATTACCATATATTTCAGATTGCTATATTAATTTGTTCAAACCTTGAAAAGTTGCTTTTTAAAAGTAATTCTTTACCAAGATTATAACTAACTTGTTGCATTATTCATTGTTTTTCTATTAGCCTTTGCTACTTTTTAAAAAAATAGAGTACTGAAAATTGAGTGGTATAAAGTTTGACAATATCTGTCAAAATGCCCTTTAAAAGTATATTTAAGAAGTATTACAAAAACATTGTGCAACACACCAATAAAGTAAGACTCCCACTCACATTCCTTTTGAAAGTGTCTTTATTTAGTCCTCACTATTAAAGCTTTTTGCGACGGATTCAAAATAATGCAGTTTGAACTAATTTATATGGGCAGTGTAGGCCCATATAATGCAGTTTAACTACATTGAACTGCATTATTTGGGTCTGTATTACTTGGCAGTGTAGATCCAGCCTAAAACACAAATTAACCAGTTGTAACTGAATAAGGTTTATGGACAGTAGTTCCAGATTCCTTTCTCATTAACCCTGTATATATGATTATTCAGTTTTAACTGCCATGAACACCTGCTATTGAAACCTGGGATTTGCAGTTTACGGTGGGATATTTGCAATTCTGAGCCAGAGATCTCCTATAGTAGTACCTTGCTGTTGTGTGCCTTCTGGTCATTTGCAATTTATGGCAACCCTAAAGTGAACCTATCACATGGTTTATTGGCAATATTTGGTCAGAGGGGGAGTTGTCTCTGACTTGCTAAAGATCACCCAAAGGGTTTCCATGTAAAACAGAGATTCAGACCCTGATCTCTAGCATCACAGTCCAATGCTCTGATCATCACCTACACACTAGCTCTTGATTTGTGCCTGACAAGATGACAAACCCCAGGATTCCACAGAATGCTACGATGGCAGCTCATGTGGAATCATAGCACTATTATTGTGTCACTATACCTGTTGCATCTAATAAAGTGGACTGCAATCCATTAAATTAAAAAAACTGGTTGAAGATGTGACAGAAGGATGTGGGAACAACCCTTAGAAATGTTCTCATTCATGAGAAAGGATGTCTTGAAACACTGATGTACCCCGTCAAGAAAATGGTTCACTACCAAAAGTTTTCCATCATTCGTGAAAAATGCATTTTTGAAAATAAATTGTATACCCACTCCATTTTGTGAAGAAAACTGGTTTTTGCACAAATTAGATTGTTTTCATGCATGTAATTTTGTACAAAAATGTATTTTTGCCATATTTTTGCAAACAGTATACCAAATGGGAAAAAAATAAATAAAATGCACACTAATTTTCACAATCTCATGCCAGTAGAGAGAGAGAGCTTCTCAGTTCCTTTATTTTTGTATGCAAGAAAGAACTATGTGAAGACTTGCATCCCTTGTGTCATGTTTGTCTTTGCTGCAAAACACTTAATGCAACAACCTCCTGGAAATGACTGAAACCTTGGGCTCGGGACCAACTAACAAGCAAGGGAAATCAACGTAGCAAGTATTTCTAGCCACATTGTGACTAGGTAGAATTATGAAGCTAAAACAGGTTGTGAAACTGTCCAGACATCAAACTGGGAATTCTCAGGGGAAATCAATGAGAATTACAGCATGATTTTGTCACCATGTTTACATCCAAGTAAACTAGAATGCAATCTTTTATCCCTGTGCTGCGGGCTATTTTTGTTTTAAGCATTTGCAAAAAAAATTGAATTATAACATTTTTATAATGCAGTTAATTAAATTAACAGATAAAACCATTTAAGTGGATTTTCATTTTTACTGGAAGGCACAAATGGCAGGAAAGATAAAATATATCTTTTCAGGTTTTATGCAAGCAGGTTCTCTTTCTCAGAGTTTCCATTCAGTCCACACAAGAAAGGCACACTGTCTGTCTTCAACTGTGAAGTTTTGGCTCTGTCTTTTCCTCTCCTCTGCTTTAGTTCTCCCTGTTCATACATTTTCCCAGCATTGTAGATACCTTCCTTTGTATTAGTTTTTGGGTGGAGCATAACACCCCTCAGAGGCCAGCCTTAGTTGGTTTATTCCATTTCCCTGAATAGAGCTCTTTACTGGAGTCCTTCCTCTTTTTTATAGCAGAGCTACTATGACTTAGGCTTGGGATTGTCTGGTAATCCCAGGCCCAAGCAATTCAAACAGGCATCCTTAATACCTGCATACAGCAGTATTTTAATACCATCAGTCCAAAGGACAACAGAAGCTTATGACCAGCTTATGCTTCACAAAAAAGAAGATTGAGACAGTTTATAACCATTGCTTTGCACCAGAGTCAGGAAGCTTTCAAAGATCCCAGAGAGATGACTGCAGCCAGCAAAGGCTCCTTTTGTAATGTACTGTGTTAACTTACCTTATGATAATCCCAGGTGAAGTTAACCCTTTATTCATCTTGTTTGCAGTAAACTCAATTTGCTTATCTTTTCACCTTGCCTAAAGTGCCTCTGTCTGCTAGGGATCTTAATCTTAACAGAAGGTATATAGATAGCCCTCAAGTAAAGCCAGATACTATAGTTTTCCCAAAGGCTTGAGCGTACCATCACATCAACCTTTGTGACAGGAGAATGACTAGACCATAAAGATGTTCCAAATGGTAGAATTGCAGCCAAAAGGAGAGCTTTGCAACTCCAAAGAGTAGGAAAAGGAGAGATGGCAATGTTGATCATTGAATGGAGTATAGCAAAATTCTCCCACACTGAAAAGAATGTCCTCTAGTGGGGATGGTCTTTTGTAATTCTACTTGCAGGTTACAGCTATATAAAAAAAGAAAACAGGGCAAGAGAGCCTTTTGGAGTGCTAGATTTCTATTTTGAAACATCCGCTGCCTCTCTCCCCCTTTGATAATGTCAGCTTTAGGAAGGGACACCTACCAACCACTACCACTGTGGTGACTTGTATACCTATGGCATCATATTGGAGTTGGACTAAGAGCCCAGAGGTTGGCCAACAGCAGAATAAGTTTAAAATGTAAAAGCCTCAGTGAAAAGAATAGAACAGAAAAGATGCTACCAGAATCTGAGATAAAAATTCCCATCATTAGATAAATACATCTCACCAGATGAAACTGATGACAGAGCTCTGTTGTTGCTATATCTGACAACACCATGCCAATGAACCTCCCTTTTCAACCAGGTAGCACTCCAAAGGAAATGTTTCTGAGAAGTTGCAGATTGGGGTGCTAGGAAATGACTACTGCAGTGCTATCCTAGTCAGGAGGCACACTGAGAACAGGCATATGCAGGGCTTGCCTTGGATTCCTCTCATGCTGTCGGTGATTAGGAGAGTGCCACTGACATAATTTTGCACCACTAGAATGAGCAGAACCTCAAAAAGTGTTGAACTGGGGCACTGCCTGGCAGAATATGCAGGTTGGGACATTAAGAATTGTACATACAAATCCCAAAAGTAATGGGATAGTAAGTCCAGTTCACAATCCCATTAGTATTAAATAGTATTAAATAGAATACCAACCCCATTTGTAATTTTTGACCTTCCCAAATGATACTGCAAATATATATGTTGCACAGGACTTTTCATGAGTCACTGTAATAAATAAAGTTCCTCAAGACTCTGAAAAGCTTATAAAGCCATCAGTGTTTGATGTCTGGATCCTTCTTGCCTCCTCTACAACCACCTCGGGCACAAACCAGGAAACTGCAAACTTATGACTCTGTTCAGCACCATACAACATGACAAAGGTCACAGGGGATGTATAGCATAGTTTAGTGTCTGGAAAACTATAGGTTGCCTACCTCTGGTGTAAGATATTACAAAACATTGCCATCTTGTTGCTTTTGAGCAAAAACAGAAGGCCCAATGTTGCTATTATACACACTTTTGACATTTTATTTCCCCAGACTTTATGGAAATCAGAAAAGCTCTGGATTTGTCTAAAACAACAGGGAGCAGAAAGAGAGCACACAATGAAAATGTAAACCAAACCCTCCCTCTCAGAAAATGGCTGAAGCCGCAGGCTCATTTAAAATGTGCATTTTCCCCATAAATTAGCAAAGTTTTTGTTTTCCGGCCACAGAGCAATTACTGTATAAATATATCCTGAGGAGCAAAATATTATGTAAAACTATGCAGTGTGCTAGTGACAACAATAGGAAGCTTGTATGCAGGTAACAAATGCAAGGTCATACCCTGAATATATTTTCACGATGGCGTCTACAGTTAGTCCTTATATAAAAAGGCCAATGGCCTATCCAGCCTGCTCATTAATATCTAGAACTAAACAGGAAGACTCAGAATTAGATTTGTCTTTAGAGGAACAAAGTACATTTCCTAACAAAGAGAAATACAAATGTGTGAAACAAAATGAAAAAAGGAAATGCATTTTCCTTAGTATGTTGTGATATTCCTTCCGAAAGCCAAATCACCAAGCCAGTACCCATACTTAGAAAAAGCAGAAAACTCCTCAGGCAACCAACTGCAAGTGGCCAAATTCATTGTCTTGCGTCTGCCTTGCTGTGACATTCATAAATATCTCCTGTGCAAGCCTTCCCAGAACAGCCCATGTTGAGTCCACAATGTGATGATGAAAACAGAAGGATAAAGATAATAGGAAGGTAGGCCGGATGTGACATACCTGTGAGAATACAACTGCCCAAAGGATGGTTTGTCTTCAACTCATTACATACACATTCTTGATGTACTTTGTCTTCTCCTTGAGATATCTAATATATTAAGTAACCGTCTCTCCTAATGAGAAGCTGGGGAGCTATGTGTAATTCAGGTATTCTGCAGTCAAATGAAGCAGCAATTAAGGTGTAACTAGAGAAAGGGAAAACTGTCGTTGCACACAGGTGGCTGCTGCTGTGAAAAGCAAAGTAATGAACAGGTGCTGACAGAAGACTTCACTAAGAAACTGTAGGGGAATAAGCTCTAAGCAGGATGCCATGGCATCTCCCTTCTTATGTGAAAACAGTCACAAAAGCCCAAACTAGATATGACATAGGAGATCACACTCCTACACTTGCTTAAATGTTGAATCTATTGAGTTTTTCATCAAGGATAAATTGGCTAATCCAAATGTTTTGTTCTCAGTAGAACAAAGCCCAACACAAGAGACAATACGCTTGCTTTGACCAGACAGTACATCCATGCCACTTATAAAAGTAGTCTTAACGACAAAAGTTGCAAAGTAGCACATCATTTCAGGCACTGAATGTTCATCCATAGAACTTTATTCACAATTTGGCACTACAAAGAGAATTGTAGGGAAATCCGGAGGGAGGAATAGTCCAAAATGAAGGAATAATAC